ACAACAGTAGTTTATTTGAAGGCTTCTAATGGTCAGCTTTCGGCGGCAGCTGGCTCAGGGTTGGTCATGGTTCCAAGAAGAAATTGATCCCTCCAAAAAGCTGGCTTGAATATATGTATGCATATCTTTCAGATGTGGCCCAGAAAAGGTAGAACGGGTTTTCTTCTGGATGCTAAAAAATGATATCTGCCTCATATCTTCACTAAATTGCAGCTTTTTATGAGATTTCCCACTGTTCAGAATCCCCCACAAAACCCGACCCCTTACCGGTCCCGTGACCCACTCATTCTTGTGCCTCAGGGTGTTCATCACTCAGCGGCAGGCAAATGACATCTCCTCAGGCGACCCAGTCGTCAGGACCGTTGGCGACCCTTAAAATGGCCCAGGGCAACTGACCGGATCATGAGAACGCTGGGAAGAAAGCCACTGTGGCACATGATTTCTGTATATTTCTGTATATTTCTGTAAATTTCTGTATATTTATGTATATTTATGTGTCATATTCAATAGTATGTATGTACTATCCACATGATGATTGGAAAAAAACACGTGTCCATCCTTGAATGTGGACAGCGTTTGGTGGTTTCCACATATCAAACTGGGATTGGTCAATAAACATGATTTTTGGAAATTTCGGTACCTGACCACGACCCATCTGCCTGAAGCTTTGAAGGAACCAGCCGGAGTATCAAACGACTGCGCGACGTGTCGGTGCTGCAACTCTAGGAAAGAGTAGCCACGAAGACATACTTCAAACAGTGTTTTTGTGGATCATTCTAAGGGTTAATTACTTCAAATTGTTCAAATCAAAATGAATAATCTACTAGTCTCCTCGGAAAATTCGGAAAGGACATGACCGGCCAAAGCTTTACTTTGATTGGTTTGTTCTCAAGTTCCATATATCCCAGATGCACTGTCGATATAACCTTGGAATCATCATAGGAAGGGATGTGTTCAACCAAACACCCACTGACATTGGATCATCATTCACTTGTCATCCATTTATCAACCTCATGGACTATCGAAAAAAATGTTTGCCATACCTAGCTAGGTCTGCTAGTTCTCACGAGACGTTTTCCCTTACCGCACTTCATGAAAATGTTTGAATGTGCAAAGAATGGGGCAATTGGTATCAAGAAGTCTCAAAGTATAGATCAATAAACCAAGTTTAATCTTATCAGTTCACGGCAACCAGCAAACAATACCCAGGTTAATTGTGGGCTACCAGATATAAGAAATAATTACCGATTGGGGTAAGCAAAAACACACCAAACGCAAAAAACAATCATATGAATTTGAATCCATTTAAGACGATTTAGATTTAGACCAAACACCATACTTTCATGGAAAATGTCGGAGATTAAAAAGATAAATGAGAAAAATGAGATAAATTTGAAATTAAACATATCCATTATATATATATATACCCATTGATATTTGGTTTGAAGATCATTGAGATATCTAAGATAATTAAGTCCCTAGGTTTATATATACCCATTGACATATACCCATTGATATTAGGTTTTAAGATATACCTAGGGACTTAATTTGCTTAGATATCTCAGTTGAGACCAAAAAGGTATCGCTATCGCCTCCAGCGGCTCCACTTGCTGCCACATGCCACAAAGCCGCACCTGGGATTCCCAGCGGGTCGAATCAGAAGCAACAAAAAGCTGTTGCTTAAGGGGCTCAGACAACAAATAGAACATAAGTCCTTATCGAACATAGAACATATATGCTTTAGAACAATAAGTTGCTTTTAGAACAATATAGAACATATGTCCTTTCGAAAAAAAATACTATGACATGGACAATATAGAACAATATAGAACAATATAGAACAATATAGAACAATATAGAACAATATAGAACAATATAGAACAATATAGAACAATATAGAACATATATTCCCCAAGCCGGCTGGAATGACATGGACATACCCATCAAACAAATCGGAACATGTAAAGAACTTGCGGTGTTTGTCGCTGATTACCCTGTTTTGTTGGTGTCTATCTGGACAAAATGTGGTTGTCCGAAGCTGAACATCCGATCCAGTAGCTGCTGTCCGTATTGGCAGCGGCATGAGTACTCAAGGTTGGATCATGACAGGATAGATCGATGGTTGAATCCCAATGTTCCATCATTTACCCCAATTGGTAATTTGTTACATAGCTATTGAACATGGCCATAGAAATAGTGAGTTTTCCCAGCTAATAGCATGGTGATTTTCCATAGTTATGTGACAGTTTACCAGAGGGTACCCCAATTGTTCATGGATTCAGCTGCTTAAATCCTCATTTTCCCCAAGCTGATGCTTGGATCCTGTGAAACCTCTGCGGCTTGGAGCCCCCGAAATTCCGCACCTCTTCGGCCACGTAGAGCACGGTCTTGGGATAACCTACCGACGAATGGATGGCACCATGAATGTTCTCCCCTGAAAAAGATCCCATGAAATATCCATATATAAGGTATAATCCATGTATAATACCATATATATATATATATACCTGATATATTATCCATATATAATCCATCAAATATTAATTAATATGGATAATTATACCACAAATACCATATATATTGTGGCATATTTATATATATATATATATTTATCCATTAATACCTGATTGTGGTCCGGAAAAAAAAAAAAAAACATTCTCCAAAGCCACATCCCAATGGTCTTGGTGAACGGATCTGGAACCAGGGCTCCCAACCAGGTTGTTGTCGCATCAACAGGCCCTGCGGCAGACAATTGTTGCTACCAATGGAAATTATGCGTGTATGTACGCATGTGTATGTATACATGTATAATATATATATATATAGTATCATAGAGAAGAATAATGATCATAGTAGGTATAGTAAGTCATTCCATGAATAGTGAAGTGATATGTAAAACTAATATATATAGTATGTTTGCGGAAAACGGTTGTAAAGTGATTCATACAGGGCAATGAACATAACTACTCTATTGTTATCTACTGGCCATATGTGGATTGTTTTCTTTCAATGCAGTTAATTACACATATGTTAAACCATGTTAAACCCAATTTTCACCAATTTCGTAGATTATGATGCTTTTCATCATGCAATATTGAGTGGATAATCATTGCTATGTTCGAGACATACCCACAATTATCCAGTCTCGAGCCCTTCAAGTCCGTCTATTCTTTCCCCGGCGTTTGGTATTATTGGCCCATTTGAAAACGGAAACATCCCCCGAATGCTGGAGAGACTGGATGTTGATGAAAGTGATTCCACTGAGCATGCACGGATTACCAACCTTCATCTATGAACATGTTTGTTGGTTTCCTAAGCCAAAACTTGTCCTTTGTGAAATCATTATACAATCATTTAGGTTTATGAAAATGGGTTTTCATTAATTCCACATGTTCATGGACAATGTTTGATACCTTTCAAATAAGTTGTTTTTGGGCAAGTTAGGTCGAGAGAAAAAACTGTAGATGCCCATCAAACTAGGCCAAGATATGAAGTTGTACAACCAACTCTCTATCCACACATTTTGCGGCTTGGTACTGGTTCATTCTGCTTACTTCCCATACTTTCCATCATATTTCCCATATATTTCCCATCATATTTCCCATATATTTCCCATATATTTCCCATATATTTCCCATATATTTCCCATATACTTCCCATCTATTTCCCATCTATTTCCCATATATTTCCCATATATGTCCCATATTGAAGCCACCATTCTTCATAGGATTTCCAGGAGATTTCCATCAAAAATTGCCTCTGGCGAGCTGAGGCGAAAGTAGGCATAGCCCTCATGCAGCACGAAGCCACCGAAGTGGCGACGGATGCAGAGCTCCTTGACCCTGGGAAGATTCAAACGGCGGAGGCTTCGCCGGCGATCCGAGGGGTAAAAAAGGGAGGCCAATGGTCCAATGGTCATGGAAATTGTGACAACATATATACCCTCTGGTAATTTAACATAGCTATTGAAAATTGCCATTTATAGTGGATTTACCCATTAATAGCATGGTGATTTTCCATAGCTATGTTAGTTTACCAGAGGGTAAGATTATATAAGCAGTTCCAAGATAAATGTTAGTAACAAATGTCCTGCACATAAATAATATGAGTAATTCATGAATGTTAGTAAGATAAATGTAAATTAAAACATCTAAAACACATATGTGATTTCTATACCTTTATGTCCCCTTTGACATATCCCAGTGATGTTTGCGGGATTATAACCCATATGTCCCACCGTGTCGGATGTGTCAGCGATCACTGATATCCCCAGCTTTGAGTGGCTTCCCTCAGTGAAATCAGAGAAGATATGCAAGACCAACAAAATATTAGAGCTATAACAAGTGAGAATGAGTCATAAAAGGGGCACGGTGAACCCAGAAAACGGATCAAAATGGTGGCTCTTTATACTAAATCAACGTTTAGATCACTTTAAATCATCTATTTTTAGCGGAAATGGGAATGAAACCAACAAAAGAATGGTTGGTTCTGGGTCTATAACAGTTTTCACGTTTACAGCTATCATCCCTGCAGGATGTACCAAAAAAAAAAACATCGTTGCCAACAGGGGGTTTAAAAGAACAGCAACCCAGAGAGCCATCAGCATTTCTCGTGCAGAAATTCGTCATATTCCCATGACAAATCCATAAAAAATCCCCATGATCTCCGCCACTTACAATGGGGGAATCCCATCATTCGGAACCAAATTTTCCGCCATGGCCGAGCCACGCTTCAAGGTCGTCGCAGCGCACTGTCAAGGCGTCCTTGCGACCACCAATAAAAAATCAGATCCTTGAGCCAAACCCATCCACACAGTCTGGATAATAAACAATAATAAACAATGTTGATGTAGAAACTGTTCCCCTGAATCGTTGGGTCATCAAATTCATGGTGTCCAAACAACATCAAGCATCATGTTTAGGATTTCGTTAAAGATTGTGATAAATCAACCTGATACTGTTACTTTCTATCTATTTCCATATATCTATCAGAAAGGGCCATCACAGTAGCGTAAGATAACAACTGGTTCTATCCTTGTTTTCCGACCCCACCACATGATGTGCATGGCAGTCCGAGGGCCGCCAAGGCCCCCCGTCCTTGCCCGGGTCCGAATCAACGCCCTCCATAACCTGGCCGGGCCGGGCTCCCCATCGGGGGCTGGGACCTCTGATCCGAGCTTGGCACCTTCCAAATATATCGGGCTTCGGGCATCTCCTTGAGAGATGTCGAAGAAGGCCAAGGCACCAAAGGGCCTGCCCGGCTGACTCAAACATGGTCAAGGTCTTCAATGGGATAGGTGCATATTTTTGTTTACTGTATATATATGTAACTATATATATATTACATAACATTACATAACTATATAGATTATAGTTGTATTCTATACATTATTCAGTTGTGGACACAAAACATGAGATTCTGAAAAACATGAGGCTCCAACTGGCTCCCTTGAAACCACGGGAGGTTTCGCGCCTGGCAAGGGTTGACACCATGGAAAAGGGGCTCCCCAGAGTGGCTCGTCCACTTGGCCGAAGCAACTGGGTGAAGCAACTGGCCATCGCAGATGGATCGGCGAAGGAGAAAAGTAGCGGATCTGCGGAGGGAAAAAAACGAGTTGCTTAGGATTAGCTGTTATAATATAATATATAAATATAATATATAATATATATATATATATATTATTATATATTATATACTTATATTATATTATATATGTGAACAAATGGATCCTTGTTCTGGATATCGTTGATTGGTGGTACCTTAGTGCTGGGGACCGCCGAACCTAGCAAAGCATAGCAAGCATCACGCGATCGTTTTCCTTTCAGCGGGCGCTTGAGCCACAATGGGCGTTTGTCATGAAGTCCTATGTGCATATGAGACATGCACCTAGCGCCTGGTTCCCTTTGACACCCCCCATGCCCGTGGTATTCTTCGAACCACGGACACGAGAGAGGGAACTTTGAATTAGATTCGTTCTGCTACTTGAATTACGCCTATTTACATAAAACTTGCCATTCGGATCCCCCTTTCCCACATACCCGTCGGGTATAATGGTTCAGGGTTCACCTACTCTTTGGCTGTCGATGCATCGGCGTTTCATCAAGCTGTACAACGCGAATTATTGCTAGCTAACACCTACTTTTCTACGTTGGCTAAGCTCACCACTCACCCGTCGGGAGAAATGGATCGCCTCGCTACCAAAGACTTACAGTGCTAACTAACGAATTCACGTGCACAATGCAGAATCTCGTGCAGATTGGGAATATCAAAAGTTCTGAACCTAAGCGAATTAGTCTAATGCCTCGCTCAGAGTCCACTCAGTTGGTCTTTTCCTGATCATCTGTTCACAAAGACGATACACATCTTATAGGCCAGTGATCATGAAGTAATTGGTTTACTGCTCACGGCGGACTTTCTTCCATTGGGGTGCTGTTGGAGTTTTCTCCCATCCTGCCGCACGTTTTGGAGCAGCTTTCGGCGATGAAGGCTTTGCAGGCGGTGCCTTTGATGGTTCATGGGATTTCGGCATAGCTTTGGCCTTTGGTGCGCTAGCCGATGAGGATGATGCCGAACCAGTGCCTTCAGGCTTTTGTGAAGGTTGCGCGGGTGGTTTGGCAAACTTGGAAGCTGCAGTATGTCCAACCGCTTTGAACACTTCATGCACCACCTCGTCGCCAAGGGTCGGAGCCATCTTCGTTTTCATTTCGGTCTTTCCCCTCTGCGCTTCAGCCTCAGCCAGCTGAATAGCATATGCCATTTTGCTGACAAAGTTTTGTGGTAAAGGAATTCCACATTGTTGGGCTGCAAAGAGTAACTCGACTCTCTGTTCTTTCTCCCTTAGGCTCAGATATACCGAGAATGCTGGAAGTTCGATGCAGTTGGGGAAGCCGTGGCTCCCGGAGCGAAAGAAGGTGTACGATTCGTGCTCTGGAAAGGTCCCTTTGAGCAGTCGTCGAAGAAAATTGCTGATGGTCACTCGCATCTCCTGTTTCCCTTGGGCATCAGCCTGCATTCGGTTCATTGGCATGAGGAAGCCTAATGATTCTGGAGTATACCCGGCGCATACCAGAAATTCCATCATCTTCTCATAGATCTCTAAAGTCTTGATGACAGGCATCATCATGTTTCTTGGTCGCCCTGAGTATAGCTTCTCTCCTTCTGACCATGAATTCCTCTTCCCTTTCTCCTGAAAGAGTTCGTCCAACTCCAGCTCCGTCGGTCGCTTGAGGTTGCCATCCTGGTCTTCTCCTGTGTAAGGGCAGAAGTCGTCCAGGTCCAGCCGGACTCGCTTGGTCTCCGTCATCATCTCATGGTATTCCTCTGGGGTCATGGTGACTCTTTGTTTGTAATAAAACCTGAACATGGTGATGATCTTTGACATGACTGCATTGTCGTACAAGTGAGCCGCGGCCTCGGAGACATCATTGTTGATAAGTCCATCTTCTGGCATACCCTTGCTGCCGCTCTCAAGGTTCTTGGTCCACGCTGGAAGTTTGGAAGAGGGTTCATCTTCAGGTTCGACGTCCATTTCATCGTCGTCTTCTTCAACGATTTCGTCGTCCTCTTGTTGAGCTTCCTCCTCCTGATCCATTTCCTCATCATCGCCTTCGTTGTAGTCGACCTCATCGGGATTGAAGCCATAGTCGTTGGATTCGGATACATTCTCTTGTGCTTGATTGACCGTATCTTTGAACAACGACTCTTCTTGTCGACGAACTTCTTCATCGAGCTCTTTCTTCGTGGCCTCATCTTCATCGTCTTCAGGAGCTTGTAGCCGATATGGACGGATTCCACAACTTTCAAGTTCCGTCCAGCAAACTAGACAAACCGCTAGCTTTGTCGGCGTTTCATTGAGACAGTGAGGACAATGACGGCAACCTGATGTTTGCACCCTTTTGCGTTCGACTATATAGTCAATCAGCTTGATGCGGGCCATGTATTGCTCTTGTCCACCAGGTTCGATGAGGTTGCTCTCAAATTTGTTGACGATGTTCATGGCATCCATGGCGGTTTCGTCAAACGGTTGGTCTTCGGCGTCGATGCACTGCCTTGCAACTCTCAAGATGGACTCTTTGGTGGCTACCGTTCTTGATTTGACCGTTCCAGACCGAACTACCTGGTCGTCGCCCGACGGGACGAACAACCGGAGCCACGTCTTATTGTTTTGGTCCCTGGGGTCCTGAATCCATCCTCCTTTGATTGCCGAGAACGGGATGATCTTTGGTGAAACGATCTGTCCCGAATCAGTCAGTCGACCGCCATATTCCACCATCAAGGTCTCGGTCGGGACGAACAAGCAAATGTAGTCCCCCCTTCGCGTATCAACGCTCTTCGTGATGGTCCAAGATCTGTGATCCCAAGGCACATACGGGTTGAAGAACGTGAACATCCGATGACCTTCTCCAAGACCTCCTGGAATTAATCCCTGCCTCCAAATACTTCGAAGGTTGGTCTTCTTGGTGATGTGGAAACAAACCGGTAACGATAAAATGGTGTTGGGCGCGATTGGATGTGAAAGTAGTGAGGACAGCAACGAGACGTCGTCCCTTGATGATCCTTCTTTGTGCCCCGTAGGAGCACGGACCGCTACAGGGTATAGCAGTAGACCTTCATCAGGGATGTTCGTGTCTGCATCAACCTTGTTGTCAATGCACGTCAGGCTTGTGCGCTCAATGTCCTTGTTGATGCCAAATGCCAAGACTTGTTCACGAACACGACGTCCGTACCGGGCACAGTGGAACATGATCTTGAAGAGCAATGTCATGCGGAAGTTTGCCTCATTGAGATTCCATGCACTCTGATCGTTTGCTCTCCCTTTTGGAGCAAGGAACACATGTGGCCAGCGTGCGTAGTCGTGCCTCCAGATGGACTCACATTTGAGCACGTCCTCGATGGGCACCCAGCCGGCGTCATCACATGGCAGACTTTGTTGCTCTGATACTTTCCCCACGTTGTGCCGCAGGATCCTGTTTAGTGATGTACTCACTTTGTCCTCGTAGGTGTTGAGTCGGTTGCCAGTCTCGAATCGGTAGTTTGCTGCATATTCGACACCGCCAAAGTAGGAGCAGTTGAAGAAATGTGCCCCCGTCGTTGGGATGATTTTCAAGAAACCATCTTGCGGCGCCTCAACTCTCTTGTAGAAGGGCTTCCTGATGTTGTTATCAGAATAGCTTGCCATGAAGTCTGGCACAGACCACGAGTCGCCTCCTCCTCTGACAATAGCGTCTCGGATCACTTCGTTGAGGTCAACAATGTTCTGTGGTCCTAGCTTTGTGACATCACGTCCTTCTATGCAGAATCTACCATACTCATCGAGGTCACCAACTTCAGACATGGTTCTGATGCTGTCGTACCATTGGTGTTCGCTAAACCTCGATTTTGTGGGTTCATCTGTCTTCCCCGACCCATCAGTAGCACCTGAACCGTCCTTCTTGTGCTCAGGAGGCTCCATATCGACGTCATCAGATGTTGGACTATCAGCCTCGAGCGACGCTCGGACGGCCTTTAGCACCTTTCTGACTTCATCTCTCTTCTCATGTTCACATTCAAGGTGGCCATGTTTGGTGCTACCACAATACAAGCACACATTGACATCCTCGGAGACGGTAAAGAGTTTTCCCAACGCATCCAAAAGTTGTTGCTTCCCGGAAATCTCTGAGTCCCTGACAACATCGGTTGGATCATTTGCTGGCTCATCAGCTTCCTCCTCCCCAGGGTGAGCCGACGACTCGTCACCTGGCTTGGCATCGGCATCAGTGCCCATGCTGGCATCATCCCCTGTGATGTTGTTCTTCCTCCGATAATGAGTGAACACCTGGTCCTTCTCCCACTCCGTAAGACAGCAGAAGTTGGCCAGTGAATCATATCCGGGGATTGCGTGGATGATCTTCATGACCCTTTCGGCTTCTGCGGTTTGCAGCGTGCAGTCGAAGGATCCCCGTCTCTTGTCATTGATGGTGCTTGAGGTTCTGGAGGTCGATGTAAACTGAGCCAATGCCTTTTCCAATCCATTGAGATACTCGGCTGGATCGACACTGGCATTGAAAATATCCACAACTCCTTTGGCCATATTTGCCACATCCAAGACACCAAGCCAGAACTCGATGATATCTCCAGTTTTCTCGGCAGATGCACGGGAGAATCCAAAGATCTCGTTCCTCTCCTTCACCTCGGGAACGGCAACCTTTTCGAAGAAATCTTTGTATGCGACATTTCCGCAATCCTTCGTGACTCTGTAAATCAAGAGCCACTTCTTTGCAACATCATCGAAAACTCTTTCGCGATATATGCTGAATTGCTTGCCGCGTCCGTTCCGGAAAATTTCCAAAGCTTGTCTCTTCGAAATTCTGACTCCTCCCATGTGAGATAGAGATTTCATCAAATGCTCCCCATACGTCAACGATGCATTTGAAATCAACGAAGACGCAATGAATGTGAGCCAGTTTTGAAATCCTTGATGGATGTCAACAATGTCAACACCAAGATCCTCGAATGCAACTTTCAATCTGGCTGCAAGGAGTAGTACGGACTTCCTGGCCTCCAATGTGGGA